ACCCACTATCTAGTTCAAGTGAAAAAACAAATAGAAAACCTATATATGTGATTGACAGTAGCAGGAGCCAATGAGGAGATAGAGAGAGAGCAGAGACAGCCACTGCTCTAGCGCATATCACAGGCTCAAGTAATAGGGAGGCTACTTGCATAATGCATTAACCCCTTCACGCCTAAGGGTAAAACAAATTTTAACACCTAAGCACAATTTTGAAACTTGACATGTGTTAGCAAAACCGTACATATCATCAACCACTTTGTGCATCCAGGTGGATTATACCTTGTGTTTCTTCAGGATAAATTGGGCTTTCATTTGGTGGTAAATGGTAATGGATATCTCATGATTCAAAGAAAAACTGGCCCAAAATAGTAAAAAAAACACCCTTTTTTTAAATTTAGCTGTATATTTCTAGCTACTACTATAACCTACCACCAAAGAACAACCCAAAATAATTTCTTCTGCTCCTGACGATTGCAGTGATACCACATATGAGTATGTTAGTTGTTGTTTGTTCCTGTAGTACAGCCCAGAAACCATAGTGCGCAATTTGCTTCTTTTTTTTATTCTGCCACTAACTGGACACTGATACTAATTTAAAAAAAAAAACCCAAAACCTGACCCCCCCAAAAAAAACCTGACCCTGACCAAAACCTTGATGTAGGTATTTTTGCTTATTTTTTTTAAATTCTTTTTATTTATTCATTCATTTATTTTTTACACAGATTTGTATTTTTTTCTCTCTCTAAAAAGGACAGAGAGAGATACAATGTATCTCTCTCCTCCATTCAGAGAGAGAAAACAAAAGGGGGCGGCTTCACAGTGACTGATCTCTGTAACAGACAACCAGAGGCTATCACAGCGATCAGGTAACCCGGAATTGGGAGTTCTGGGCCCCGATCGTTAGACCGGGAGCTGGGGCTCTCAGTGACACCCTGGTCTTTGTGCTGGGAGCGCCGTGCAGCGCGCTCCCAGGAGAAAGACAGGTGCGAAATTAACGCCTCCCATGGAAAAAAGCCCAGTTCTGTGAGGCTGCTAATTTGCATGCGGTCTGCGTCAAGAGGTTAAGATAAAGAACCTTCTGCTTTTAGAAGCATTTTATTAAGCTGGTTAGAACTAGTTCATGAGGGAGTCTATACCACATTTTCAACGCTCTTACCAGGGCCAAAATTAGGGGGGGGATGGCACAATGACTGCAGAGGTGGGTGGCGCTGGGGAAGAGATGCCATGAGGCCAGGGTACAGAAGTGTGCTGGGGAGGTACAGAAATGTGCAGGGCAGTTACTGAGGTGTACTAGGAGGTCTAGAAGTATGCGGAGGGGAAAAATGGTGTCACCGGGGTGCAATGGTCCTGGGGGGTACCAAAGTATACTGAGGGGGACAGAAGTGTTCTGGGGGTACTGATCATTGCTGGGGGGACAGAAATGTGCAGAGGGGTGCAGAAGTGTGCTCTGGGGGATAGAGATGTGTTGAGGGTACAGATGTGCTGTACAGATGGGGGACACATACATTATACCACACTGAATCACATGTTAATTGTACAGGAATGCAGTGCGTTTCCTGTACAGTTGATAAGCAGTTCATAATGTGAACCAAGGCTAACAACTGAAGCATAGTTAACTGTGATTCCTATGCTTCAGTTTATGAATGAACAGGAAGCCACTTAGGACTTCCCATTCATTCACTGTCCAGCTCAGCTGAGGTTGCACAGAAAGGGACTGGGGAATCTCTGTCTTCATTCCCTTTCTTTGTCTCAAGAGAGATCAAGGGTCTGTTTAGATCCCTGAAACTTCACCAAAGCCCCCCAATGGGGCTCCTAAAAATATGTAAATTTTTTTTGAAAAATGTAAAAAAAATATAAAAAAATATTGTAACAAATAAAAAAAAAATAAAAAACTGACACTATCTACTGCCCTACAGACACCAACCTTTGCCCTACCAAGACATCCATTGCCTTATGACACCTTCCATTGCTCTACTGATACCGTCCATTGCCCTACTGACACCAACCCTTGCCCTACTGACACGTCTACTGCCCTACTGACACCTTCCACTGCTCTACTGATACCATCCACTGCCCTACAGACACCAACCTCTGTCCTACAGATACCAGTCTCTGCCCTACAGACACCAACCTCTGGCCTACTGACCCTTTATACTGCTCTACTCTGCTCTGCTAAGTTCCCATTTTTATAGCAACACTTGTTTTATTAACCTAAGCATATTTCATGGGTACAAGAATGCACACAGAAGCAGACCTTTTAAAAGGCTCACTTCTTGTCTCACTTCTTCATTTCTTCCGGTGCCCCTTCTAATCCACTATGGAGGTGAGTCTTGAAATCTCCTCATTCAAACCTCACCTACATGATGATTGTGTAGGCCTTCTCACTCGCGTGGTGAGGCACCGAACTGAGTCTTTGCTCCGGGTAAAGGAATGTTTAGCTGCGCCATTGGCTCTTACGGTGAAGAAGCCTTTCTGTATGTGAAGGTAAATCTCTTTTCCTCCAGACGTAAAGAGTGCCCCCTTGTCCTCTGTGATGACCTCAGGGTGAATAGCTCTACACCGAAGTTCACTATATGAACCACTGATGTATTTATACATGTTGATCATATTCCCCCCTTAATCTCATAGCTGATCTCCTCCATGCCTCTTATCAGTTTGGTTGCACTTCTCTGCACTTTCTCCAGTTCCCCAATGTTCTTTTTGTGAATTGGTGCCCAAAACTGAACTGCATATTTCAGATGAGGTCTTACTAATGATTTGTACCGGGGTAATATGATATCTCTCTCTCTGGAGTCTATACCTCTTTTAATACAAGAGAGGATTTTGCTCGCTTTAGAACCCGCAGCTTGGCATTGCATGCCATTATTAAGCTTGTGATCTACCAGAACTCCCAGATCCTTCTCCACCATTGATTCCCCCAGTATGTATGATGCATGCATATTCTTAACCCCCAAGTGCACAACCTTACATTTATCAACATTAAACCTCATTTGCCACATAGTTGCCCAATTACACAGAGCATTGAGGTCTGCTTGTAAATTGGAGACATCCTGTAAGGACATTATTCCACTGCACAGCTTGGTGTCATCTGCAAAGACTGAAATGGGATTTCTAATCCCAGATCCTATATTGTTTATAAATATATTAAAAAGTAAGGGTTCCAACACTGAACCCTGGGGTATACCACTGATGACCCCAGACCATTCAGAGTATTTATCATTAACCACTACTCTCTGAATACCATCTTTTAGCCAGTTTACATATCCGTTTACATACAGATTTTTCCAAGCCTGTAATCTTTTAAGTGGATATAAAGCCCACTTACCCAAGTTCTTTCTGGATCCAGTGCTGTGCCTGTCTGCAGCAGCAGCACTGGTCTCTCTCTCTGCTCACAGGACAGAGATGCAGCAGCCATGGCTCCTGCTGCTGTCAGTCAAATCCTTTGACAAGAGAGAAGGGGCAGGGCCGAGCCACATTGTGCATGTCTATGGATGCACACAGCCCGGCTCAGAAGTGCGGCCACACGTGCTTCCCCAAAGCAAATGGCTTGCTATGGTGAAGCATGCAGAAGAGGAGAAGCCAGGAGTGCTGACAGAGGACCAAACAGAGGAGATAAGTATAACATGTTTAATTATTTTTTAGAAAAAGAAATTTGGACTTCATAACTGCTTTAGCTTACACATGTATGAGGAACTGTGGGGGACACACTTTGGCAAAATCCAAGTATACTATATCAACAGCCACTCCTTTGTCTAAGTTTTTGCTTACCTCTTCATAAAAAGAAATCAGATTTGTTTAACAGCTTCGGCTCTTCATGAATCCATGCTGCCTATTTCCTTCAGATCTGTGCAGTAATTGAGTGTGAAACATTACCTCTGTGCAAGAGCTTCCTGTAATACAGACCGGTCACTGCTGCTCTCTCTCTCTTATACAGGGTGACTGGTCTTGTCTCCGCCCCCTCCTGTAGTTTTCTGATAACAATAAACAGGACAAACAGAGAGGGTGATCTCCCTAATGGAGGCACAGACAGCAATAACATTCTGACAGGTATTCTAATCCTTCTTAGAGGTGCACAACTGACAAATGTGTTTTGCTTTTTCTTGGATTTGTTCAATAAGTTAATAATTTCACTTTGTCATATTTGTTAAGTTGGAATGCTTCATTTTCAGAATTTGTTTCATATATGCAGATCCAATTTGTACATTCAATCTTTTTGAATTGATTTGAAATTTGAATTTCGGAAAATCAAATTTCTATTTTATTCTATTTTCTCTATTCTATCATTGTATTTTATTTTCTGTTATAGTCTATTCTTTTATTTTCCATTCTATATTATTCTATTATTTTTTATTCTATGCTATTCTGTTCAATCCATTTTTTTCTATTCTATTATGTTTTATTCTTTTTTATCCTATTATATTATTTTATTTTCTATTATGTTCTATTCTCTTCTGTTTAAATCCATCCTTTCTATTCTATTTTATTTTTAGTTTCTATACCATTCTGTTTTATTGTATTCTATAAAGCAGCCTAAGTGGGAATCATCATCTAATTTCACTTTTATACCTTACTGTATTGCAATATGTTTCCATTTAAAATTTGAATTCATTTTTTAATTTGAATTCATTTTCAAATTCTAATAATTCATTTCATTATAATTTATTTCAGATTCGTTGAAATTCTTTACTATTGTGATTCAGAAATTTAAACACATCAGAATCTCAGAATAACTAAAATTTTGCTCGAATTTCGATTTGTGATGAAACGAATTGTATATGTCTAACCCCTCTCCACTCTATCCAAAACTAAAAATAAAAAGTCTTGCCTTTAGTTCTACTTTAAGGTCCACTTTAAGTGTTTGACTTTTATTAAATGTATAAAAAAGTAATAGACTAATTTTTCTTACAGAATACAGAACAGAGGGACTGACTGACAGGCTGCCGATCAGGAAGATGGCCAGCGAAGGCACAACGAACGTCAACGCATCGATTTTGACGTTCATGAACTATGGAAACAATCCCATCAATGCCACCATAAGCCAGGCCAAATATCCAGACAAAATGGAAGTGTTATATATTCTTCTGCTCCTGGGATTTTTTGGATTCTTTACATTTGGAATCATGATAAGTTATATCCGCTCCAAAAAACGGGAGCACTCCAATGATCCTTACCACACATACATTGCCAAAGACTGGAAGAAAGCCTCAACTGTCACATCCCCTTGTCTCAGCAGCCCAACCTCGTCCCTCTATCTAATGGAGAACAAGTTTGCTGTGGAGCAGCCACACAAATACCCTACCGACAGTGTGCACAACTGTAACACTGGACCATTCTGGATCTCTGGGGTCCCAATAAGCATCTGGTAGAGGAGAAAAACTCTAAAGCAAAACTGGATTATGGAGAATGATAAACTGCTTAATCATTTTAGGTATTCTGAGTATTGGAAACATTTCACCTTTAAAACCCTGATAGGCCAACAGGCTTGAGATACCATGAGCTTGGTGTTCAGGTTTCAATGTACGATATTTAAAAATAAAAGTAAAATCTTGCAGAGACTCTGTTCTCTTGTTAGGGCACTACCCACTGATACCTAGCTTTGCTACTGCCCCACATCTGTTCATCTGTGATAGATCTAGGAAATATGGAACATGAAAAAATTGGACCTAGCTTTCTCTGTCAAGAGTCTCCCATGAACAAAGTTTATTAACAACTTAAAGCCCAACTCCAGGAAACGAAAATTCTCTCCATGCAGTGGGGCTACATCTGTACTGCAAGGTGCAGCCCCTATACTAATTTCTGTCTAGGGAAGAGTAAGAACATTTTACTTACCCGATCCTCTGCTCCCCCCGGCACAGAGTGCTCTCCCATGCTCCGGATTGTGGACTGTCCTTAGTGTTCTTACTTCCAATGCAGCATGTTGAACCTTGATGAGGTCAGAGGTCCTGCAAATGCAGGAGCAAGGAGAAAAGTGGCTTTGGGGACTGGTCTCACACTGTGGAGACAACTTGCCAAAGTAGGGGATCAGGAAAATAAAACTGCTTTTTCCAGTGTCCTAGACATAAATGAGCATTTAACCCCTGCAGTGCAAGGAGGATCCAGCAGCCCCACTGCAAAAAAGGATTTTTTCTTTCCCTAGGGTTGGGCTTTAACTCTTTAACAAATCAAGAGCATAATGCACATAGGTAATACATTACTTTAAAAAATGGCACGACCTTTCACATACCTCCCAACTTTCTGAAATTATAACAAGGGACACCATTTAGAAAATAATATGTAGGCAAAAGGACATGTCCATGTCAGTGCTCCGGTTACATTGACCACAAAGATCTAGTATACAAAACATTATTGGCTATACCACACAAGTGCTTTATTGGATCTCTGCTTTTCCTTTATACACTGGCTTTTCAACAAAAGTAATAAATAACAAATGAAGCAATATAGAAGTTGGATAAAAAGTTTAGAGCAGCATAACACTTTTGATAGTAACATTTTTTCATAGAGATGTACAAAAAAAAAAAAACTAAAGAAAAAAGACTAAAAAGAAGGACAGAGGGATTTGGTCTCAAAACAGGGACAGTCCATCCAAATGAGGGATAGTTTGAGTTATGCGTGTCACAATCGCACGATCGCGACCAACAATAATACGTCACGGCGTCAGACCCCAGACCTTCTCACCAAACTCGTGACCAAAGGACCGGCCGATCTAAAACCGCAGTGTGACGCGTGTAACAAGGCCACACCCAGCTGCACCCTGCACAGCGATTGTCCAGCTAATGGGCTACAATCGGTGCCTGAAGCCTGAATGCGCTTGTTACTGGGTCGGGTTAATTACGCAACTAACCCTCTACTGCCACCACCACTTTTGTCGAAGACTGGGAAACTCCCGTTATCAAATATACACTATAATGATTGAAAAGTCGGCTGTCCAATACGGTCACCGCAGGCCGATTAGGCAGAGGATTAAACAAAACACAAGAGCGTCTCTTCAAAGGCAGGAATTCGTGAATTGCAAGTAAGTGCTTAGAAACAGTTTAACACTTTCAGAAAGAAAGATTTATTACTAAAAGAGTCAAACAGGTGCAATAAAATATTTACAAAAGAAAATGTAACTATATATATATATATATATGCATATAAAGACCCACAACACAGCAAAAAGATAATAGAAAGAAAGTTAAAGGATTAAGTTACTTGCCAATACACCTTGGTTTGTAAGCAGATCCAAGTTGCAGAGCAGAAAGGGTCTTTGATCTCCTCTGTTACGATGTTAAGATCAGGAGATGTGTTTAGCTTCTCTTAGGCTTGTCAGCCTGTCTTTTTAAAATCCCTCTGCATGGGGGGGGGCTCTGAACACTGCCTACTACGCTGTTTTGGGAGGGGTCAGTCGGGAGAACTCTGAATTAGAACCAACATCTGTCATACTCCATGACATGAAACATAGGTGAAAAAACCTGACTTGAGGAATGTTCATTTCATTCTCTCATCTTTAACTGTTAGGTTTTGTAAGGTTACAATCTCTTTCAATTCCGGGGAGAAACAGCCTTATCTGTTTTATGATGGGTGAGCCTACGCAAGTTCTGGGGTCATGCTGGCCTTATCAGGACTTTAGGTGAGTAAGGCTACACTTTCGCAGACTGCCCGGCACCGGACTAAGGATGCCTTAACCTGGGTTGACCCACACCATCTGTCAGGATATAACGTTTGCCTCTCAGGAAGGGAGGGGGTAGGGAATGAAGGACTGAGGAATACTTCTAAATAAAAAAAAAGGGAACTCCACGTCCCACTCTGGTGAGCAAGTTTGCTACAATGTGTACTACCCAGAGGTCAGCTTTAAAGGAGAAGTAGGGCCAAAGCTCTTTTGGCCCTACGTTTCCTATGGGTCACAGGAGTGCACTTACTTTAGCCAACAGCAGGATAAATTCCCTCATGTCACTCATTCAGTCCAGACTCTGGAGGGATCCCAACTTTAATGTTGGGATCTACTCAGATGCCTGAGTGGCAGCTGGCTCACCCTCTCAGTGGGTCACTGAGAGCTTGAGCCATCTGTACCCACCCCCTGGACAGCCCTGTGTTCCAGTGAGCTCTGGAGGGGTGGTACAGGGCAAAGAAACAGGCATATCTAACGTCCACTTCCCTGACATCACATACTCACCTACCTTGATCCAGTGAAGGACAGGAAACCTATAGCTTGGGAGGCCAACACATGCAATTGGCCCTTTCATTGTAGAAATAGTTTCATGTGGTTTAAAAGTCTACCATACAGTTTTCCAATGAGCTTTGGAAATAGGTGGTTATGGTAAAAGATAGACATGGGTTAATACATAGTTAGGTTGAAAAAAGTTCATCTGGATTAACCAATAAAAAAACAAATAGAAAACATCCGCACAATCCTATACCTCCAGTTGATCCAAAAGAAGGAAAAAAAAACCCAATAAAGCTTGGTCCAATTTCCTGCAGCAGGGGAAAAATTATTTCTTGGAATTTCTTGGGGCAATCGGATCTTTCCTGGATCAGCTAAGCCTAGTGTTCAAACAGAACACCCGGATCCTTCACAACTATTGACACCCCAGCTGGTTTCCTCCTAGAATGTATGATGTGTGCATATTTTTAGCCTGCAAATGCACAACTCTACATTTATCAACATTAAACCTCCATTGCCACATAGTTGAGCTATCAAACAATGCATTGAGGTCGGCTTTTAAATTGGGGACATCCTGTAAGGATGTAATTCCACTGGATAGCTTGGTATCATCTGCAAAGACCAAATTGGTGCTTTTAATCCCAAACTCAATATCATTTATATCATAAAAATGCAGCGCTATGAGTAAATGAGGAACTGATACATGTATAAATACAGTAAGTAAAGGAATTAGTCCATGCAGCAGTTAATAATGTGACTTCAAGTGCTCTTCTTTAATTCATATTTTCCTGATATTCAGGCGTTGTGCGGAATGGTGCGGAAGAAATGTGCACTCACCAGAACGCACATATAAATGAGCGTTTTTGTTAAATATAGGTTCCCCTCTGGATCATTAGGAAAAGGTCTGTAAGGCGATAGCCTCCCTTCAGGATTCCTGGGTACTCCTGTCTGTTCCCTCAGTAGGTGGTCTGCGGACTTCTCCTTACAGCATGCTCCTTGTCCAGTAGATGGATGAGTTGCTGAAAATTGATGCTCCCCAGGGGAGTCAAGACAAGGACATACCCATAGTGTAGTAGGTAAAATATCAAATTTATTAGCATACCAAGCATACCAAGCTATTCGTTGGTGGACAGCAGTAAATGCAAACGAATTATGGACTAACCGTCCAGATTGAAAGATGGCCGCCGGAGCTCCACGATGCTCCGACGGCGTGACGTCACGGCGTTCTTGGCTCCTCCTACGCGTTTCGTGCACACGCACGTCGTCTGGGGGGAATTGCCAATGAACGCCGAGCCGTGCGTCGTCCTTATATATGCTAGGCGCATGCGCAATGCAACGGCGCCATGTTTTCGAGGTCTAAGCCACAGAGTCTATAGTCTATGGACTATATACACTTTGATCGATACTTGGATAGAGTGGAGTAGGATGTTGGTATTCTATTCTACCTATATATATTCAACTTGATACCTACTAGACTTATATGCCCATTATTGTGATAGACCAATACCAATTGTGGATAGGTTTTATGTACGCTCTTAAATTTTATTAAAAATGTTCTTACATGTTTTTAATTGCATAATATGGGATACACTACAGATGTTTTATTAACATATTGTACTTTGCACAATTTTATATATTTCTTGTATCATATATATGTCCTTAGTCGCGTTTTATATGCTAGTGCCACATATAAAACATTATACCCTGTTTTATTCGTTTCCCATACTAATTAGAGTATATACTAATTGGGTTTTTGGGTTCCAGGACACTTAGCAGAAGGTATCATGGAACCATACTTGTACATTCAATAATGACAGCTGGCCGATTACATACACTGTTGTTATGACAGTGGATGTAACGAGTAGAACTAACGAAAAATGGCGCGCGTTCTAGTATCCAGCTGTCTGTGGCTTAGACCTCGAAAACATGGCGCCGTTGCATTGCGCATGCGCCTAGCATATATATAAGGACGACGCACGGCTCGGCGTTCATTGGCAATTCCCCCCAGACGACGTGCGTGTGCACGAAACGCGTAGGAGGAGCCAAGAACGCCGTGACGTCACGCCGTCGGAGCATCGTGGAGCTCCGGCGGCCATCTTTCAATCTGGACGGTTAGTCCATAATTCGTTTGCATTTACTGCTGTCCACCAACGAATAGCTTGGTATGCTTGGTATGCTAATAAATTTGATATTTTACCTACTACACTATGGGTATGTCCTTGTCTT